TTGGCTGGCACAGTGGTTCAGAAGCGCAAATGGGTGCACAGGCATCAAAATGCTTTACTGAACCAGTTTCTGCCCCATTCCTAGAAGACATCGGTCAAAAACTGAAGCAACTAAAACAGCATGCACAATATTCCGCAAAACTTGCAAGTAGAGAGTAGAATAGCACAGACTCTCTAATGCTTGGAAGTAGGACCAACTAATTCCGAGCTTCAAACACACTGGGGCAGATCATTTCAGAATTAAATTCTGCTCTCCTATTGCACTGCCATCTGAAAACCGGCATAGCATCCTATCTTGGTTCCGTCACTTCCTGGACTATGACTTTGGGGCTTGGGAAACGCATCACGCAATGACATCACAACACAGCTTTTGTGTTATTCCTGCAAAAAAAAAAAAAAAAGAGAGAGAGAGGGAGGCAGCTATGGCAATTTCCAAACGTGTAGCTGCAGGAGCACATCCGTGCCCAAACACAGGTAAAGAGACCCGGAGCGCAACGTTAATGGTGAGACCTCCCTCCCCGAAGCAGAGCGAGTTGCTTGTTTCTCATTTCGCTGTGCCTTCCTAGCGGGGGCATTAATGAAAGACGTCTGCATGTTTTTGCTTGGTTCCTTCCTTTTAACCACCGTTCTATGTATACTCAAGATGTGCCAATACCCAAATTACACGGACGGCAGATTCCAATTTTGCATCAACTGCCCTTTTCGTAGCCTTGATGTGTTTATGATTAAGCCGGGGAGCATCCGGCCTGCTCTGCAATGACGGGGTTCTGGGGTGGGGGGGAACTTTGGCACTCAAGGGAGTTGGCAGTGCAACAGAGGGTGGGTAGGAGAGGAGGACTGAGAAGCAAATAGGAGAAGACAGATGAGGTCTGTGCGAGCCGAGCGAAGAGGAGGGAATATTTAAAACGCTTTAACCAAACACCCGAAGGCAAAGTTGGGTAAGTTGGCAATTTTCTAAGCTGACGGCAAAAGCACCCATTACATAAAAGAGCTAAATTGGAATGAAAAGAAATAGGGTTTGGCTCGCATTCCGTCATAATGGTGCTTCGCTGCTTTTTCTCTGCTCTCTAAAAAGCCACCGCTTGGATGACACGTAGGTTGGCTGCGGTGTATCAATGCCTTCTATTTATCCCACGCCGCAGGAGGCCTGGTCTTGCAATGTTATCTTTAAAGGGATGGAGGGGCAATGGAAAAGGGGGGGGGGGGGGGAGGGGAGGGGGACAAGGAAAGGGGAGAGAAACAGGGCAAGAAGATAAAAAATTGGAAGCAAATGGTCCATGAACTAAACCATGATGCACAGCTATCGACGCTGCAAATGGTTTATTCATCCAGGTTGGTATTGCTGCGCCTCGCTCTGAATGAACCCTTTTCAGGGTGCCATATGAAGTTAAAGCAAGTAAATTTCTATCTTTCTTGGCATTAGCTGCCTCATTGCTCCTCAATTGGGCCTCACAGAGGCAGAAAATAGTTCAACCATCTGTTTTCAAATCCCTCCGGCTGGCAGGTCTTTGGGGGGGTGCGTTTCACCCAGGGGGGTGAGGGCCAACGTGTGTGTGTGTGTGTGTGTGAGAGAGAGAGAGAGAGAGAGAGAGATGGGGGGAGAGGATGGGGTGGACCGTGCGAGAACGCTGCACTCGCTTCCCCTCACCCCAGCCCCTCCCGTGGTTTATCCACCCCAAAGCCCACAGAAGACGGACAGATTCCTCAAAAGCAGCCTGTTGGGATGGCACTTCGCATTCCTTTTTGATCCGTGGAGATGCAATAACAGTGCACAAAAGGAAGCCTGCAGACAGAAATTTAATGTTAGATTGGCTGCACATTCATAGGCTCCGGCCCCGAGGGCACAGTCTTTTAGGGAACGCAAGAGATATCAGATGAAGCGTTCGTTCTAGAGACTCGCGTCTGCCTTGGAGATGGTAGACCAACAGCCGTGGCCACCGTGAAGTTAAGACCTCGTCTCCAAAGAAGAAGGGCTTTGAGTCAGAGTTCCTATGTTGATAAGTCAGTCAGAAGAAGGGAGGCAGGAAGAATCTCTGGATTCTGGTGCAAAGGAACCTGATCTGTGAGGCTGACCCTAGTTCTTCAGATTTTGGACTTCACAAGGCCATTTTTGCCGAAATACAGGACCAAGTTGTGCTTAAATGCCTTTATGGTTAGAGATGCATGTTTACATAAAGGATGCCTTGCAAAATGCATTGCATTAGGAAAAATGTGGGCCTATCAAGTAATTTTTTGCAGAACTGAACAAAAACCTGGAGAAAACAGGCCAAGGCAGACCTATGGAAGAATGTATGCAGACATGACCTGGAGAAGAACGAGATGGACCCATTTATAGAGAGACCCCAGCACTACAAGAGATAGGGTCAGAAAGAGGTCCCAACAGCTTAGCTACCGGCTCACAAATGCTGCAAGCCAAGTATGAGACAGAAACTAGGGCTCAGGCATCCAGCGGGACACCCTTGTGGAAGGGCTTGGTCACGCCAGACAGCAGGGCAACCTGTGTGCTAGAATGTGGCCTTGCTGGATTCCTACAGTTTGAACCTGGATCCACTGGGGTGGTGAAGGGCCCTGCCATGCCTCCTCCTTTCCATTACAGCCCCAGTGCCCTGAACATGTTCCATGGAGAGTCAGGAAACTGTGGGGTCAACCACAGAATGGGGAACAGGGGGCTCCCAAAAACCAGGCAGAGAGTTCCTTTGGGAGCCTCCTCCCCACAAGCCGTGGGTCTCAGCTCCTACCCCAGCCAGGAGAAAAGCAACTTGGGAAAAGTGGGATGGGTGTGGGGGGAAGATTCTGCCCCTGCCCCACATCCACCCCTGCTCCAAGTCCACTGGAGGACGGCGGAAGAAACCCACGTGGTTGGCCTGTCCATCAGAACTCAGGCAATTTGCACTCTTTCCAACCAGAACTTGAAATCCACTGAAACTGGCACTTCCCCAAATTTCGCAACGGAGTTTTCCCATCAAAAGAAAAACGTCACTTTGGGGTGACATGCGAGAGAAGGAAGTGGGGCATGAATGCAAAGATCGTGATGATGCAGACAAGTTTCTTGCAAAAATGCACATGTCAGGCGAATTTGCAAACAAAAATCACTCATCTGGGGAGAAGCAAACAAAAGGGCATACAGATTTTCATGCAAACTTTTAAAAAATTGCAAATTGTTTGAGATGAACCAAACTTAAGATTGGAAAAATGAGAAACGAGGCAGAACAGAAATTGAAACACTTAAATCTATTCCTCGCCTATAGTACGGAACCGCTGCAAAAGTCTCTCTGAAGACAGTGGCTCTTCAGATTTAACAACACACCCAGAACAACTGAATATGGACATGCCCATATTCCACAGCCAACCCAGTATGCCCAAGCAATTTTTCCATGCCCCTTCAGTGTGAGTGACCAACTCCTATTCAAAGCCAAGATGGAGCAGAAATATCTATTCCCTACTGGGTTTATAAGGAGTTAAGCTCAGGGCAGGGACTCACACAGGAAGACAACAGCCAGCCTCCTCTAAGACCTGCATCTCCATGGGAACTAGCAGATGCAGGGCATAAATACCCACCCACCCTGTCCGAGTGATGCCGGATTGGAAGGAAGCATGGGCAGAGAAAGATGCATCGGGCAGAGCTGTGACAGGCATCTTCCTTTGTGGATAGGCCATTTGGGCGCCCGGGAATGGCTAAGATTCGACTGACTTCTGTCATGGCACCAGCCGTGAGGACGGCTGCTGGAGAGACGCCACCCAGCACCAGGGGCTGCATGGAACGTCGTCCCTGCCTCCCTTCCCCGCCACCGTCACTTCTCCCCGGTCCCTCCTCCTCCTCCGTCTCAGCAACCGATTGTCTAATTAGCGCTGATGGATAGTTTAAGTAACTCCCTTGAGCGTGGCGTGCCTGCTGGAGCATGAAGTAGAAAAGGCGAGGACCAGCAGGCAACAAAACCGCGCGGCCCCATTATGCCGCCGCGAGAACGGTGCCCCGGTTCGCCACAGCAAGACAGGCGTGCCGATCTGGAACGGCTCCAGCCGGGGGGGCTGGAGGGTGCCCACTTGGGGTGCCCACCCCAGAAGTGAGTCTGGGGATCCAGGGCAGGCAGGGCTGGGTGCTGGCTGAGGGCCGCAGCCCCGGAGTGAGTTCTGCTGTTCCCCATGGTAACCTGCTTGTCCTCCGCTTCTCACTCTGGCCCAGGAAAGGAGCTGGAAGGGCCACGGGCTCCCTGCTCCTTGGATCTAGGACCACAGGCCAGCCAGCGGGAAACAGGCTGGCACGGAGGATGAGCGGGGAGAGCCGTTAGTGACCCTGGTGGGAGAAGCCAGGCTCCGGGGGAGGGAGCTGCTGGCAAAGTCTCTCCCAAGAGTTGGAGCCAGCGCTGCTTGGGGCCGCACGAAAAGCCTTGTGGGAATCTGGGTAAAGATGCAGTTCAGAGGCACGGTCCCCAGACCTCTCCCAGAGAGCCTCCCCCATGGATGGCATCGACCCAGGGCCATCCTTCCTGACAAAGAAGGGACATTCCAGAAACTAGCAACATTTAAGCCCTTGGAGAAAATGATTGAAGGCCTTCAGCAGAGGCTGGGAATGAATTGCCAGTCCCTGATATGAGAGTGTGAGGGGGGGGGGGGGGTCCCAGGAGAAGCCACCGAACCTGCTCATCTGGAAGCCAAGGCATTCTTTGCTTCCCCTAAGGACAGGACTTAATTCCAGATTTTGCGACTCTTTCTTTATAAAAATAACGCAAACCAATGACTAAAAGAATCGAATAACTGGTACCCGGCTTGTTAAAAAAATCAAGAAGCAGGAAAGCTTTTGTTGTGGGGGCGGGGCATCCTTGAGCCACTGAAAACTCAGAGATGTTTCTGCTAGCCTGTTAGAGTTTTCGAGCAAGACAGGTTTTTCCGTTCCTGCCTGAACTTTCTGGTGTTTAAACCTGCACGATTCAGCATGCAAAGCAGGGGCTTTGAGGCACTGGCCTTCCCAGTGTTTCTTCTGTTGTCGGAAAGGTAACTTACCTGTGGATTCTCCAGGATCCCGGCCTCGTAGCTGAGAAGGATGGAAGAAAGCAAGTCAGCAGGGGTGCGGCTTCCCACACAGAAAAGCACACAACTATCTTAGCCCTCGCTTCCCACCTTTACCCCTCGCAAAGTCACGCATCTGCACTCTCGCCCACGAGACCGAGGGCGTGATTGTCTCAGTCCGGTGCTGCACGGATCCCTTTCAGCAGGGAGGAGGAATCATTGCAAGCAGCCCCCCACAAAAAGTTGCCTGCATGCAGGCAACGGCCAGAGCTTCCAGCCCTTGACCCCTTCTCGTCGGTGCTGCAGAGCCCGCAAAAGGCACACGGAGCCGTTCTGTGAAAAGCTTCACAGAACGGCTCCCGGGCCCACAGCAATGCCACTCCGTGCCATGAGGGCCCATTCAGGGCAGGGCTGAGGACCTCTGTGAGCCCGAGGGCAAAGCTTATTTAGGGGCAGCTTTCCAGAGCTGCTTTCCTGGGGAGGATGGAGTGGAAGGCCCAAGTGGCCAACGTGCCAGCCTCTCGGGGAGCAAGCTTGCTGACAGCCACTCGGCCAGTGTAGTTGCAGGTGTCCATTCGGGGTGCAGCCCCATCAGCCCCCCACACTTAGAGCCTCCAAGCAGCCCCCCTTGCTTCACCTCCTGCTTGGCCTTTTAGCCAGAGAGCTGCACAGGGAGGAATGGATACGAGAGTATGGTTAGGAATCCTCAGATCCTGGGGGCGCTGGACTCCGACCCTCCATGTCCCCCGGGGGGAGGGGGGCTTTGTCTTCCCCAAGTTGTCCCAAGTTGCTTTCCTGCTCCTTGGATTGGTGGTGTGGAGGGTCTTTCCATACCAACTGCAAGGAACCGTGAACAGGATTCAAGCATGGACTCCCACTTCTATTTCTGACCTGGATCTGGGAATCTGAATTATCCTGTGCCTTCTCAGAAATACCTAGAAGTCATAGGATTGTTTGCTTAGAATGAAGGAGCAGCAGTAGCTCAGGGACTGGTTGAGGTGGCACCTGGTTTGGGCAAATGACCAGCTGTATTTTGCTTGCCCATGCAGCTTTGCTTCCTCTGAGGGGCAGGCTTCTCTGAATATTTTCAACTGCTGGATACTAAGCACTATTTATTTATTTAAAACATTTCTATGCCGCCCCCATCGCAACAAAAACATACAAAATTATGCAAAAACAAAGTTACACATAAAAATATTAAAACCCAGTGCATCTCGGCTTAAATTTTTTTAAAATACTACATAATTAACACTTAAAATAAGTTTTAAATAAAAAGGTCTTAGCCTGGCGCCGAAAAACAAATAACGACGGCACCAGGCAGACCTCTCTGGGGAGCACATTCCACAGTCGGGGCGCCACCGCAGAGAAGGCCCTCCTCCGGGTACTCACCCTCCTAATATCATTCACAGAGGGTTCCCAGAGGAGGGCATCTGTTGCTGATCTCAACTACAACTAAGATATTCTGGATAGAAATCATGTGTTCTAATATTCAACTCTAGCTGCTCCCCAGAATCAACCAGTTTATTTATGTCTTTATGCATTGACTTTACAAGTTTTTCATCCTGTTCTCCTTCCAAGAGGGAAAACTATTAAGTACATAGTTCATCTTTCTCCAATATGGCAGCCTCCTGGGAGGTTGGTTAGAAGATTCTGGGAATTGTGGTCCATCTTATCTAGGTCAACTCAGAATGGACACCTTAAAAGGGCTGGGCACCTTGGTGGAGGACATGCCTGATGCTTCTCATTAGCCAGGCTAACTGAGTTGAGCCTCCAAGAACAGGCACACTGTATTCCAGAACGCCAGACAGCAGGACAGACTACATGGGGCAATATGCACACGTGTCCCGCCTGTGGAGTCTCTGAGGGTCTGTCTGACAAAGCCTAGAAGCAGAACTTTGGACTGGACCCGCATAAACTGCCTCACCTGATATGCATGAGGTTTTCATCCATGCTCCAAGGACTGGAGGGAGTCACTGGGATGGGGATGCCATGTTCCTACAAGAAGAGAGGCAGGGAGAGGAGCAAAAATCAAGCCCCAGAAATGCAACTCATCCGTCCTGATTGGCCCTGTATCCTCCCACAAGGTGATCCTGCAGCAGCTTAACTCGCAGGAGAAACAAGGCCCCCGTTGCTGCAGACCATGTCCCAGGATGCAGCACAGGCGCTTGGATTACCCAGGGAAGCCTCAGCCACCGTCCACCTCTCTACTTCCGAGCTCCGTGAGAGCCACTTTCTCATGCTTGGCCAGGCATGGCCTCCCAGAAGCTGGGCAGAGGTTTCCATCCATCCAGAGAACAAGCCCAACAACCATCTCTCAGTGATGAAGCATCAGCTGAACATCCAAGGCTAATAGCGACCCCTCACACCTTTGGAACTGAGCATTCGCCACAGGGGGACACTTTCCCTTTTCAGGGACCTTCCTGCAGCTGGAAGCCCATGTTTAGAAACTCCTGGTTGGGAGTGGTTGGCAGTGAAATGAGGCGGCCTGAGGCCAAATGAGCTGCCGGAGAAAGAATTTGGTCACACTGAAATACCCCGCCAAAGAAAAGGCTGCAACTTAAGCTGGTTTGTGAAACATTTCAAGTGGCAGTGGCATTTTGAAGCTAGAGGTGCTTTGGGAAACAGTAATTGTGCTTGGATTTCCCCCTTTTAAAAGGTCTTGCAAAAATCACAAAGGTTTGAAAGCAGACTCAGAGGTTATATGCGGTTTCCTACCATCAGAGGGGGTTAGGAGTGAGAACAACAGTGCAATCCTAGCCAGGTCTACTCAGAAGTAAGCTTCCCTGACTTCAATAAGAAATATTGCCAAGGAAACAAGCTGAAGAACCAGCAAAATGACTCAGAGAAACACTAGGTCACTGCTCCCTGAATCACCAGATCAAGTTTTGGTTGAACTTCTGTTTGTCATTGTTAGTCACACTGCTTTTGTTCCCAACTGGCCAGTAACTGAAGCCATCTGGGTGCTTTACAACAACCCATAACATAAAATGCAAGTAATAATGTCACAGATTTTGCTGTGAGAGTTCAAAAACCAAACTTGAACCACTTAAGCAAGGTTAGTGCCACCAGACCTGCTAAAATGGCACAAGGGGGAGACATGGAAGCTGTTTAGAACTGTGAAATTCCTTGGTACAGAGAACATTCTTAACTTGGCTCTGAAAGGATCATAGAGATGGCACTAGTGGGCCTAAGTAGGAACCGTGTTCCAAGCAGGGGAACGTGCACCCCGCCTCCCTGAAAAGGCCCTCTTCCTCATTCACCAACCACTAAGACGGACATCAGAAGGCGGCCCCAGAAATTGACTGCCACTTCTGGGTGGAATGCTGCACTAGCTTGAGCATTTTTCTTCATTTGTCTTTACAGAGCAGGATTGCTATATCTGGAGATAAAGTGATTGTAGAACAGTTCTAGCTTCCAGATGTGCTGGACTACAACTACCAGCATCCCCAGCCAGCATTTAGAGGGTAGCAGGCTGGGGAAATCTGGCCCAGAACCTGCAAATAGGCTCAGCTGGTGCCACAAGCCACAAAGAACAAGCTTCTCCATTACCCTTCTTTGCCATCGGACCATGTTTGGAATCACAGCTCTCAGCCCTCCCGAATTCTTTTGTAAGCCCACAGAAGTTTTGCGAAGTCCTCCCCACCTACCTTTTGCAAACCCTGACAGCTCCCTCGTCCCCCCCTTTCTCTTTCTCTCACACTTGCATACACACAGCAGAGACGGTCATAAACCTTCGCTCTGTTGCAGGGTCGCCCCACTCACTTCATTAGCCGGAGACATTTCTGTGGGGGAAATGGTCTGTGAAAAGGGGGTGACTAAATGGCCAGCACAGAATTAGCAGGAGCTGGTGCAGTGATACGGTTCTCAGCCTGACAAACAAGAGGGCGGCGATTGAGGGCGGCTTGGGACTGCCAAAGAAAGCCAGGATTTTGACAGCGCGCTCCCTCGCTAAGATGCGTTTAGTGTGGATTTTGAGGGTGGGGGGGGGATCTTAAAATAAATTCCCCTTCAAAAAGATCCTTCTGCAAAGTCCTAAGGGAGTGTACACTCAGACAAGTCATTGTTGTGTAGCTGCCTGTGTTTGCAAATTTTATGCTCAGGGTTGAGTTCAGAACTGGGCAACACAGAGAAGGCTCAGCTGCTTCTGGAAGGCAGAGGACGCCCAGAGGGTCAGCACGCAAACCAGGAAGACTAAGACACCCCAAAGCTGCATGGGACAAACATTAATCCAGCCAGCCTGAATCTCTTCCACAAGAATGTGATGTACTAAAAGGGATTCCCTCCAAGTCAGAGAGGAGGGTTTCAGCTGCAGCATCCCACGCATGGAGTTTCCTCCCAGGCAGTGCAGTCTAATTACCGCCTTTATTTTCAAAAGCCAGCTAGAATTTTGTTGCTGCCCAGGCTTTCTACTGGGCAAAAGGTAGATGCTTTGGAAGTCAGCTTCAAGTGTTCTTAACCACTGGTCGAGTGGTCATGGATTCTGCTTAGTGAAGTCAAAACATCTGGAGCTCTTCTCCCCATGCTTGTTCAGTTGACTTAAAAAAAAGTTTAGCTGATCATTGAGAAGGAACGCCTTCTCTTTTGCAGACTGGTTTGGCACTAGACTGCCAGATAATCTTGCAGATGAGAAATTACTACCACTTCCCTTCCATACCACCCATAGCCAAAGCTTTTTGGGCAGTTCACAATATTTAAGTCCCCCATCCAGATTTCAGCCAAGCCTGAACTTGCTTAGCTTCCAAGATCAGGCTGGATCAGGCACTTCAGGCTGTATAAAACCTCATGGAGTTGGGGGAGACACTGGCTGTGCAAACAAACATTCCTACATCACATGGGTAAAAATGCCCATGACTGGGAACAGAAACTTGCAGAACATTCTGGTCCCTTTGGACAACTTTTTTCAATTGCTAGCTCCCCAAAATCATCAGACAAGGCTGTTATTGTTCATCTGCCTTGCCTTCTTCATGGAATTTTATGGAGAGGACATTCAAAGCAATGCATAGTCTTTTATCCATAATCACACTCAGGTTTTCCCCACCTCTTTTTTCCTACCACCACCGAGAGAGAGAGAGAGAGAGAGAGAGAGAGAGAGAGAGAGAGAGAGAGAGTATAATGTACAGACTGAGAGATTAAGATAGTACTACATTGCTATTCTCATCAAGAGAGTCTTCTGATGGTATCCTGGATTTTGGCAAATCCCAGTTCAGAATATGGCTTTTAACGGGATAGTGCCCACCCTCTGGAACTGCCTACCAGTGCAAACTCAGCAGGCACAAGAACTTGTCTGGGATTTTGAACCCCTCCTGAAAGCCTCCTTCTTCCAACCAGCCGTGATCTTGCTTTACACATGAAGATGGAGTGTTGGTGCATCACTTGGGACAGGTCTTTGACATAAGCAGTTCATCAATAGTTCCCCAGTGAAGGCGCCATCCTGTGTACCTCCTGCAAATCCTCGTCACCAAACGCTTTTCCTGTTCAAACAGGCATGGAATTGCACCCAAAATTGCACTAGGAGCTCTTTGTGTGGCACCTTAGAAAGCTGACAACACAAACTCTGCCTTTGAATCTGGATGGCGCAGGGTGGGCATGAAAGAAAACCAACCGTGTGTGTTCTGCATCGGACTTTTTGTCCTCCCCCACAGCCGGCTCATTCCCTGCCCATCCACAAGAAAGCAAGTCCAAATGAGCGAGTGAGCGAGCGAGCGACCGCAGCCCGTGAAAGAGGGGGGTCCAGCTCCCACTCCAGCGGCCACACTGCCCCTCGCCGCTCCATTAGCTTTTAAGAGCTCGTTACTCAATTAAACCTCCTCTTTGTTTATACTGAATGGGCTACTGCAAGCAGCCTAGGGCAGACCATGGAGGCTAATTCTTCCTTTATGATGGCGGGCAGCCCTCTCCCCAGCCCACCCGAGGGCTACGCAGACACACCCCAGCCTGCACACATATCGTGATGCTTTATGCTTCGCCTTCGGGGTAAAGCTGCCCTGAACTCTTTGATATAAGCGTTTGAAACACGCGGATAGGGCTCCCCCTGCACACACGCAGGAGCTGCCTTCGGCTTTGCCCGCAAGCTGCCTGCATGCATCCCAGCGCTTCTGTAGCACGCCCGCTTTCTTGCACCCTCTCCAGGACCTGCCAGGGGTTCTAGTCCTGCAAGGAGACACTTGGTCCATCAAGCATGTGGTATAGCCCTCGTAACCTCCCCAGAGCTGCACACACGCAAGTCCGAGGGAGCACCCCCACCTCACCCCGCTGCACACTTCTCCGACAGGCAGCCGGCCTCAACAGCAGGGATGTGACTTTGAGGACCTTCATCCTTTCCTCCAGCACAGGCCTCCAGGGACCCCCACCCCACATCAAGCTGGAGAAGACATACCCCAAACCTACAGGGAAGAGGGGCCTCTCCAAGCCAGCGAGGCCCCGTCCATTGCGGTTTCCTCTTGACCTTTCTAGGCGCTGTCCGTGGTGCTGAACTCCACCTGCTTCCAAGAGGCTTCGCACCACGGAGAGCTCCTCCACAGCTGCAGTGGACAAGGGCTCCCGGCCTTCCCTGGAAGCCAGCGCGGTGCAGCGGCCTCCCCACAGTGAGTTTACCCTCTTGCCACTTGGCCACCAGCGTCTCCCCCTCCTTCTCCTCATGGCTTCCGCTCCCCTGTTGGTTAAGCTGAGAACAAGCAGGCCGGGGCCTCTCCTCTTCCTCACTACCTGAGTAGGAGGCAGCCCAACACACAAGTTGCCATGGGGAAGAAAGGGCTCCCACAAGACCCTGCTAAGAAGTGGACCCTTTCCAGGAGCCCCACGAAGTCCCCCCTCAATGCCAGCAATCACAATTCCAGAACAGTAACTGAGGAACCCTGGACTGAAGCCCAAACTCGGAGAGCATTCTGGGTGTCCCTGGCCCTGCTGTTCCCCCACTTAATCCACCTCACAGGGCTGTTGTGAGTTCCACACATGGGGGCGTGTTAGTCCATCCAAGCTTGTGCAATAAAAATGCTTTACAAGAATGTGCAACCATCCCATCAGAAAAGAGTCTGAGCGATTTCGGGCACAGGCGTGGCATTCAGGGGACACAGGGGTATTGGCTGTGAGCTGCTTCTAGAACAAACCCGATGAAAACATTTCCAAGTTTAATGCTGACAGAACTAAGCAAGATGATGGGGGCTTGGCTCAGGGAACTCGAAGAATCTGATTCAAGATGCAGAAAATGAGTGGCTGTGCCTGCGCTTAGACACACCTGTAAGCTTAGACTCTGTATTCCAAGTGGTTTTCCTCCCCTGGACATAATGATCCCAGCAAATGTTCGGCTGCCTGCTTGCTCTTGGGCAAACAGGCCCAGGAGCCCAGCCATGCTGAGCTCTTGAAATAGGGACCTGGAGGGACGCATCTGCCAACTCTGCTTTCTCCCTTATCGGGCTTGTTCAGAAAAATCTCAAGAGATTCTCCCAGATGTGCAGAACTTAGCCAATTTGGGTGAATTCATATCAAAATGAACTCCATCTGCTCAGAGTTCCAATCGCTGGGAACAGGTGGTGTATAAATATAATTAATGAAATCCTCGTTCCAGCTTGCATGTGTGGACATGGGAGAACAAGGGTCCGTCAAGCTCTCAGATGCTCCCCCACAATCACAACATGCCATTCCAGCAGCAAATGACCACACACAAACCTTTGTCCTTCCATTCAACAACCCATGCCTACAACACATCTTTCCTGCCAATGATTAGAAAAATTTCCAGAATACCCGCAATTGCTTTAACACAACCATCCTCATCTTTCTGCCCTTTTTCAGGGAGGAAAAATACCATAAAAGAGGCAAACTCAGATTCCCAAAGAGGAATGAAAACCATGTTTGTACACACAGTGACCCTAATAACTTGCATACTTGACAGTCTGTTTGACAACATGCAAGAAGGTTTCATAAATTCCTCATCGTATGACTTAGCAGATGGCAAAACAAGACCTGGAACACATGTGTCCTCAACACACACACACACACACACACACACACGAGACACACTACCACCGACTCCAGAACTCAGCACTATCTGCTTCAGATGGCAGCTTTTTTTTATTTAGAAGGAAGGGGGGGGGGGGCAAATCTCAAGCAATTTTCTGGTTTATACACAGAACTGCTCTTTTCTTTTTGACTGATTGAGCCCAGTTGTCAAGCATTTCCGTAAAGTCGTTGAAAAAGAAAGATCCCCTGGTGGGTGCTGAAAGGACCTGATGCAAAACTTTAATATCTGTTATCGCAACTTGCTCTTCAAAAAAAAGAAAGAAAACAGGGGAGGAAAGAGGGGGGAGTAGCGGGGGAAGAAAATCAAAGAGAAAGTGCATTTACTTTGTCTGTCGCATAAGCCATTGAAGTGGGACAAGTTTCTCCCTTTTGTTGATTGCAATTAACATCTAGGTAATTACATGCCACTTAAAAAAATGAGGAGTGCTTGTGGGAAATATCTTCACGCCCCAAAAAAAACGACAGAGCGGAAGCCTCCTGCAGGGGTGGGCTGTAATTGCCACAGTAAAGAGCAGGCAAGATTGTGCGAAGCTAAAATCCAAAGTGCCCTTTAAGGTCAGAAAATTAAAGGCTCGCTGCAAAGAAAGAAGAAAAATACCACGTTGTGATGGCGGACAGGAGGAGGAGGACGGGGCTGGACTGGGGTTAAAGCGCCTTGCGGTGATCGGGTCCATCCCTCGGGGCACATCCAAAGTGCACTGATTTATTAAAGGCCAGAAGGACTCCGTGCAAACAATGGCATCCGCATTTGATGCTGGGTTTCCATACACCACCGCCCCGCCCGGCGATCACCACCCCTGCCTGCAGAGATCCCATTCCTGATGGCAATTGAGACATGCCACTGACATCGCCAGCAGACAGATAATAGAGTCCTGCCATGGTAGAACAGACTATACCACTTCAGGGTGTGAAGTACGTATACTTTTTAAAGATCCTTTACAAAGGGTGCGGGGGAGAGGCAGGCTCCCTCCATTTCTAACCATTCACCAGCCCATTTCCCAGAAGCGACTCTTAAAACCCCTTCCTCCCAGTCCCTACCATAGAGCCCTCATCCCTAGAACATCCCCAGAACCTTCCAGAAAGAGGGCAAGAACTTTTTAGGCACTCCCTAGGAATAACACTGCTGCTATAGAGAGCTGAACCAGAGAGCTTGCCCCAGGATCCTCTGCTCTCCCACTTTATTTCACAGCAGGGCCGAACGCGGGGTGCCTGAGAGCCACCAGTGAGGCTTGCGGAGCAGAGATGCAAAGGAGAAAAGGAACCCCCCCCAGGCCTCCGCTGTTCTGCCGTGCAGAGCACCTGTGTTCTCTTGTGGACACGGGCAACGTCAGCTCGGATGGCTATCCCACCGGCTACCTGAAATGACAGGGGCCCTTGGCTGCCTTCCCCCGTCTGCTTATTATATTTGCACTTCATCCTCACAACAACCCTGCGAGGCAGGTTGGGCTGAGTCTCTGCCTGGCCCAGGATCACCCAGGGAGCTCCATGGCCAAGCGGGGGCCAGAACCCAGGCCTCCTGTACCCTGGCCCCACGCTCTTAATCACTGGCACACACCAGCTCTCAGACGCACCCCTTGCTGCAGCTGCAGATACAGAAGCTACACAAAGGACTCCCACATCCAAAGTCAAGCCCATGCTCCACTGCTACTGCATGTTAGCAACCACCCAGGCAGCCTTCAGGCTGATCTGGGGGCGGGGGGGGGGGCAGAAATATAAGACCAATGTTGCCATCAGGGACTGAGCCCTGCACTGCCCAATACTGCAAATATTCAGTGGATCTGAACACATATTGCTCTGTTTGTCTGCAGCAAGCTCTAAGCAACAGGGCTAACCAGAAAGCAGGGTTCCAGCTCAGGTAAACAGCCAACCAGGAGAATCCCAAGAAAGAGAGCGAGCCAGAAACACAGTTAATCCACTAGGTACATACACAATCCAGAAGCAAGGGCAGGTAAGCAGTCCAGGAGGAGCAAAATACCGGCACTGAAAAGCACCACTGTTCACAAACCTGGCCAGGTGTGCACTGAAGGTTTTTAAGCTCAGAACTTGCTGAGCCCCACCCAAGGTCAGCTGCAGACCATCAGAGCTCCCGGTCCCAGCCCTACTCCCGAAGAGGCAATTTCTTTTGAGGAGTCCTTTTCGGCAGGCGAGCACTGCTTCTCGCAGGGGCCCCACCGGCCGAAGACGTGCAGCAATAACATCCCTGGAGAATATGGGGACAGGTCCCCTGGCAGAATCGCCTCTGCAGGCCCCAGTTCCTCCCTGGAGGACAGGCCTCCCAGCAGAGCCATGACAATATTAAATAAAGTTTCTATTGTATTCCTGGAGAGAAAGGCAGAGAGACAGGTGGAGAAGGTGCCCCCATCTCCCTCCAGTGGGCCAAGCACTGTCAACTGCCTTGTGGGAGGAATTCTCCAAGAGGGAGGGGAGGAAGGTGATCAGGGCAACATCAGAGAGGGGATGGAAGAAGCAGCGATGCCTCCGCTTGGCGAAATCCTCCAAACGCCACTTCGATGCTCACTTTGGCTCATTTGTGGCCTGCGTTCCAGGGCCTTCCAGCAGGAGAAATTGCACCTCTTGGGAAAGTCACCGCTTTTCTAGAGCACGTTTTGCTAACACAAAGACTTGTTCAGGAATTTAAGAACATTTTCAGAGAATGTGTACTACCTGTTCACATCCGGGGCTGTGAGAAATTAATCTCAAGTGTATTTGAAACAGACTGGACTTTACCTGCCCCAAGAACCTTCTTTCTTTACCTGCACTTGGGAATTTTCCTGACTACTTTCCTTTGACAAACAAACAAACCTTAATATTTTTGTTGTGGTGTTATATACACCTTGTAAGCTTGGGATTTGTATCTGGCAGATGGCACATAAATCATTCTGAGAAACTGGAAGTTTAGATCTTTGGTTGAGAAGAATTTGGGGGAGCAAATTCTGTTTACATCCAACATCAGCCTTTGATTGCATATGTGATGGGGAGGGACTTGAGAGGCTGTGAAGCAGATCTCAAAGTTGCTGAACTTAAGACAGGTATTTGGGGGGGGGGGGATTCTCATACCTTTGCGTATTCCATTAGGTCACTCCGGCCTCGAAAGCGGCTGTAGAATTCCGGCATCCTCCAAGGAGCGATAACCTACAGGGGGAGGCGAAGAATTGGTTGATGGGTGTGCAAAAGAAAGGGGGCAGGTTTTGCTTTGGTGGAATCATTCCCCACCGTCGTTACCCCTGGGGCAATCTGGCAGGAGGAGGAGGAGGGTAGGGCCTTCTGGGGTCTCTGTTTATGGTTCTGATTTATTTCATGTCTGTACTGCCCCATAGCTGATGCGCTCGGGGTGGCTTGGCCTTGTGCTGAGAATCCCCCACCCAAAAGACACTCTCGTGCACAATCCACATTGGGCACCTTGAGGAGGATCTGAAGCTGAGGACAAAGGGTGTTGTAGTCCTTGGGCACCAGGGTTGGGCACCCCTCTCCGCGTCCTCCATTTCAGCCCGACTCCAGTGAGAGGTCACTGGCTTGGCTCAGCCCGGGACTGGAGCAAGAACGTCCAAGGAGGAAGCAGCCCTGCAAGACCTTTCCTGGGACGTGACAGATGTGCTGATGGCTCAGAGTCCCAGCTCCACCCGGAGGGTCTTGAACTGGTGACCTGGGTGGGATCGCTGCCTTGACTTGACTGGCCTAGAACACAGAGCAAGTTCTCCCAGCCTGGCATCCCTGCAGACAGTGGGGAGCAGTGGTTAGAGTGTTGGACCGGGACCCAGGAGATCCAGGTTCTAGTCTCCCTTCAGCCACTAAGCTCACCAGGCGACTTTGGGCCAGTCACGGACTCTCAGCCTAGCCTACCTCACAGGGTTGTTGTGAGGAGAAAATGGAGTGAAGGAAAAAGGTCGAGCTGTACATGTACATGCACATGGTGGGCATGTCGTGAGCCGGAGGTCAGACTAGATGGCCTGGGAGGCCCCTTGTGACTCGCGCTGTTTCTGTTTCTGTGTAACGCTCGGCACAACTAATAAGGCCACTGCCCGTGGTACTGAATCGATTTTGGGGCTCAGGTTTGGCAACACAGACAGTTCTTTTAAAAGTTCTGACTAAAATCGGGAAGTCGGGGACTGACCCAAATAAAGAATACAGCATTTCCCTGGTGACCAAGCAAAAGGGGCCAGTTATGCAGGGTTCTGTCAGAGAGACACAAGAGGGCTAAAAATATAAAATAAACTTCTGTCAAGGAGGTCAGATAACCTGGAGGCAAATGTTTTGGCACCAGGAGTGTAGGTAGGTCAGGATAACCGCGTACAAAAGTAACCGAGTGCTTTCTGCCATGATACTTCCTGTTACTAATCATTGCAAAAAGCTAAAATAACAAACTCACGCCTGATGACTGTGGCAGCTGATCGCAACTGGAGATGGGCTCAATCGTTAGTGTGCGTCCACAATAATTTGTTTTTTGTGTGCAACACCTGTCTCCCACTGAGCTTTATGACTGAGTGCAGACTCCCAAAAGGCCCATTCTGATACTCTAACCACTCCGCAACACTGTCTCTTCCTTTTCTCTCCCTTCCTCCCACCCAGGAACTGAGGAATGGCTCACTTGCAGAAGATCTTTAGAAGCGTTCTCGTCTCAAGATGCCACATTGGGTCAAAGCAGAACCGCACAAGTTTCTCAGACCCAGGAACCGCTTCTGGGCCAAACTTGCACCGGGGCCCCCCAATTCTCCATGTCCCCCCTGCTGCGGCAGGAGCCCAGCTGTGGATTCTGATTCACCAAGTTGAAGAGCAATTCCCCACCACCACCGATGCCTCTGAGAATCCATTCTTGCATTATGTAGGGAGAGTTTCAAAGCCTTTGTGATAGCCAGAAGCACCAAGCATTAAGTATCCACATTAATCTCACCAAACAAAGGTAATCCAAGACCCTTCCAAGCTGCCACTGTAACTTAACAAGCAGCCCAACCAGCCCAGGGCAAGGTGGGATGGAAAGAGAAGAGGCCGTTTAGCCACACCAGCTGCTCTCCGCTGCGGCTTCGTTTAAAAGAGCAAGCCAATTAAAAGATCATAACTACTCCATCAAAATCCAAGGAGGCCAGACCCCTTTATTTATGTTATTGTAAGGGATTTCCATTTATTTCAATTATCGATTTATTTAGAAGACTCAACAGCAAGTTTTGGGTGTGCAGTTGGAAGGGACAGGGTTGCAAAGATATAACATTTGGAGGGACCTCAATGAAAAGGCAGAATGTGGTAGATTATCAGAACAAAATGTGAGGGTGAATTTGGGCTGAAATATTCAGCTGATCAGTTGGTTAGATTGACAGAGTAAAAGAAGTTTCGATATTCCTACTTGAATGGGCAATAAATTTATTTATTTATGTATTTATTAGTAAAAGGAAGTTTATTGCATTTTATGCTGAAACATTTTATAATTTAAAGTCTGTTTAAATTGTAATGTTTGTTTAAAAAATAAACTTGATGTGTGATCATTTAATAAGACTTCAATAAGAGTTTATCTATGGTTTTATATTATATTTGGACTTCTTCCTGCAAGGAACCCAAATGAGCTTACATTATTCTCTTCTAGGAAAGGGAAATTGAGCCCCTTTGCCTCCCATTTTTCTGATGAAAATACTTCTCTGCTAAAGGTGCTATTTGTCAAAAGGGAAAATTATATTTTATGGGACACATCCGAACGCAGCTTCTAAAAGCAGAGAAATAGGCCTTCCTTCCAACTTTAGAATGGTCTTATTCATATGCAGGCACAGCCAATTGTTCAGTTCGTGCTCAAGTAATTAATAGGGGTGTGCTGGGTGGGGCGGGTGGACCTGCTTTGGAATTCCGCTTGTGTCCTTGCTGAAGGACTTGCTGGTTTTGCATTCCGTGCCTTCGCGTTGGTTTCAGAACCTGCCCAGGAAATCAGTTTGTTCGGAGAGACAGAAGCGGTGGGCCCGGCACACGGCTCTGCCTGTTTGCTCCTGGTTCAGGTCGACTCCTTACCCCAGAGGCAACCAGTGGGACCTTGGGTAGGTCTTCTTTGCTCGTGAGTAATTGGAAATGAGGCCACGCAGGTCCTGAAGGAGACCCATGCCCCTGATCGAGAAAGGTTCTTGCTGGAGCGACAGATTCAGGTATGGGAATGTTACCTGTCAAACGCCTTACCTTGATCTGCGGGCAAAGGGCATAATAGGTGAGCTCAAACCGAATCTGATCATTACCCTAAGAGAGAGAGAGAGAGAGAGAGTTTCAGTGCAAAGCTTGACTACAGAACTCCACTTCACAGAATGCTCAAACTCTGCTCGGCTGATTTGGGCCCCATCATTCGTCTGCCCCAACGAGACGGACCGTCATCTTTGGACTGGCAGAGGAGAGTGGAGGTTCCATTCCATGAGACGGACCATTCTCAAGCAAGCGCGATAGATTCCCACTTCTCCTCGAGCTCCATTTGCTTTGTGTCACCTACTTCAAAGTTCCTAGTCCTCAACATGTTGAGAAATACTTGGATAGTAAGGGGGACCTGAGGATATTGAACAGGAATTATTGAGGTGATGCCATACTTATTCAACTGACAGTTACCTTAGGAATGGAGAGTAGAAAGGAAGATCACTCTCAAGAATTATTACTACTACTACATTTTTATACTGCCCATAGTCAAAGCATTTTGGGCAGTTTACAACAATCATAGAATCATACACTCAAGTCACCCATCCCAATTCTGACCAGGCCAGACCCTGCTTAGCTTCCAAGATTAGGCAGGATTCAGGCTACAGAATGTTATGAGAAGGGCAGATCAACCAGCCCTGTTCCACGAGCCAGGGAACAAGCAGCTGCTCCAACGCTCGCTTTCCTCTTCCCTCCTCATCCCCTTTTCCTTTTGTATTGCACCTATTCGATTGTGAGCCTCAGGGGCAGTGGCTGACCCGTCTCTCAGGGTATGAGCTGCTCTAAGAAAGCATTCAGCGTTTTACAAGTATTCAACAAAAACATCCTTGGCAATGCCCAGTAAAACCAGCAACCTGAATCCTCATTCAATCTTTTTTCCTTTAACGAGCAGCATTCCCCAAACCCCAGCAACAGACTCTAAGAGGAGGAAATGTTGTGGTATTCAATACGTAGTTTTGCACTGCAGCTTTTTTAAAGTTGAAAAGGAACCTGAGAGGTTGTGGCCAGTATGGGATACAGGAAAAGAGTTGGCATTTTCTTCCAGAATCACAGGCCAGATTAAAATCATGCACACGCACAGGCTGCAGCTACCTGGCACAGGAGGGAAGCCACCCTGGGCACAAGCGTTCTCTAATTTGATTCACACGAACCACGTAGTCTTGCGCTTGTGGGGACATCCCACCTGGCTAAAATCAGACAAGCCTTTTGACTTGCTTAAGGTATGCTGATGATCTTGGGGTGGCGTCCTATGCCTTCTGACATCCCTGGGGAGGCCATCGGATTATTTGGGTGCCAGTTCCAAGTTTTTATGACTTTGGTGCAGGGACGCCATCCTGCTTGCAGCTAGTGCTGGAAGCACCAGCTAGACTGCCTCTGAGGCGCTGAAGCCCCTTTCCTGGCCTCAGGGACCTATTCATCCTTGCCCCTGGCTTGCAGAGGACCACCAGGCATGGTTGCACCAGACTTTCAGGCAGATCTTCACAGCCAAGAGGACTAGAAACTTTAAATCGAATCTGAGCTTGCATGGGGAGTTGGCATTCAAAAGGCTGCATCTGTTGGGGTTACCATCTGAAGGAAGACAAGCCCACGGAAGGCATAGAAAGACCGGCCGCTGGGGGTAGGATCCATGTTTGTAATCAAGTCTGTAGCTAATGGCTTTAGACACCCCCCAGAAGTGCCTTTCTCTAATTAACTTTCTCTGCACATATGTAATCCCTCACCCATCTGCTTGCCATTATGGCAGACAAAAATACCGGCGCGACACCATCTCGGAGACGGGGCTTTCAACATTGTCAGCAACCCACAAGACGGGGCGAACGCGTCTGGCACAACCTGTGAACGTCTCTCTCACAGTGCTGCGTGAGCACAGACGGGGCGGCCCGTGTCCCTGGGAGGCGAGGCAGGCCTTGCCCGCAGGTCCCACCATCTCCCCTCCTCTGCACATGGCCTGGAGCACCAGGTCGTTCTGGGCTGCACACATGCCTTGCCCGGGCATGACGCGCCTCCCAACCCGTGATGAGGGAAGAGCGGAGAACAGGGAACGGCCATGTCCAGGCACTGTTCCCAAGGACAGCAACCGCTCTCGAGAAGCCCTCAGTGGCCGAACTCTGTTCAGAAATTTGCTGCAAGCGTTGGTTCTTGCAGCGGTTCTGGAGAAGCGCCAGCGATCAGGAAGCAGAGCAAGGGCGGAGAGTTTGACTTCCAGCCACATGGACCCAGAGAGACCAAGAGGACTGCCAGATGTGCAGTTGGGTGGTTGGGGCCCCCAGGCCTGCCTCACTAACTTTTAGGGTAGCTTGGGAGATGGATCTCGTGGGCATGGAAAGAGGTGGATTCCGTATGCTCTGAATGAGCTGTCCATGCTCTAGCCAGTCCTCCTCATATTTTGGTAGGTGGTGCTAACCAAGCGATTTCACTGTGTTGCTTTTCTCTGTTCCTTCTGAGTTGCCAAAGGGAGAGGTGATTTGGGGGATGTTTTGGGGTAGGCAAGCAGTGGGGCGGCTTTGGGATGCTCCTAGCACATACTGATTGGTGCCAGACGTGGCCTTTCTGTGTGGCTGCTGGGACATGCAGTCGTGCCCTCTCCAGGTCCCGCTTTGCACTGGAGGCATCTTCTTTTTACAGTGATAACCACTGTTGGTGTGGTTTTGGGTGGCTGTGTGTGGGCCCATCACAATGTCTACACAAATGCGCGCGCACCAGACCATCATGCGTTCCTAACCTTCAAGGTGTTCGATTCTCTATGCAAAGAGGCAAGCTCACCTGGGCACCCACACAAACTCTGCGTAGCCCGAACACAAGATCGCCTTGCCTAGAATGCGTACAGCCGCCTCTTTATCGCATGATGTGCCCCAAGATGCCCTTGTTCCTCCTCTCCTAGCCAACCCTCCTGACACCGCTAGACCTCACCAGCTTTCGATACGGCTGCAGCATTTCACGCCCAGCTTGGCCTTCACCAGCCTCTGGCACAAGTATAAAGGGGCCTGATGACCAGGGGCCGAGGGGCCACGGCAGCTGCTGTCCACACTCCTCAGCCCCTCCACTGACTGGGCCAAGGCGAGCTGCAGGGGAGCAGCCAGACTGCAGCAGGAAGAGGGGAAGTGACTCCAGGAAGCTCCTGTGGGTCAGTCCTGCTGGACTGCGGGCCCTGGCCAAGGCCCAGCCATGTCTACCACAGAGGCCCCCGTTTGGCTGTGGGTACCCCAAAGTTATTCCACTGCTGCAGCCTCGGCTTGGCCCACTGCCGTCTCCCCCGCTTAGTTGGAGTTTGCTGCTTCTTTGCTCGATGACGCTGGATCTTCCTCCTGGCCAGCCCAAGCAGCTGCCCCGGAAGGCCAGTAAGGCCTCAGCAACTGCTGGGTTTCCCTTCCGCTTCCTCAGAGCTCTCTGTGGTGCTGAACCCATATCAGTTCGGGTTCAGCGCCGTGGAGAGCTCGTGTGAAGCTCCAAAGGGGCCATTGCGACATCTTACCTCAGATTTGTGCTCTGAGCAGCTATGGATACGAGCGATGCTGGTGGGAGATGCCCCCAGCTCCCCTCGAGGTGCAGAGGGCTGGATCTGGGCCCCTTGGCATGTGAGGGACCTGCTCTTCCCTAAGAGCCCTTCTCAGCAAAGCAAGGGGCCTTGGCTGCAGGGAGGGGGCACGCGGCCCCCTTCTCGAGGGCCAGATACCCCCCCACACACAACCAAGCATGTTCGCTGCTGCTCGCCGGAGTTTGCTCCAGGGACTATTACAAAACTCTGCAGAAAACATCTCCCGAGTGCTCATTTCCCTTACAGGCCCCAAACAAGCCCATCTGCTTCCAAACTGGGGGGCCGCTGCAGATGGCTTGCACCCTGCATTTAAGAAGTTGGTGATGTAGCCACAGGCCGGTGGCTTAGGGGGCTCAAATTACTGTCTCTGCTGTCCCTATAACCATTTCCCCCCAAGCAATGCTTAATTTGACACGCTGGGGCTGGGACAGAGCAAGGTACATGCATCCGATGGCCCCATGATGGCTTAAAAGACTAGAAGAACTGGGGGGCACAGTCTGATCCCATTGCCTGCCAGGCAGAGCGAGCACTTTAGTCCCTTCGAGGCTGTGCTTGAGCCTGGCACAATGTCTTCGGATGTTGACTGTCCAATCCTGGCAAATAAAATGAGGAAATCAATGTTCAAAGGGCAGGGGTGAGTTTGCATTGCTTCTGGTCTCTTTATTTCACCTGTCCTTCCAGAAAGGGCGGAGCAAGGTACATCCTTCTCTGCCTCTTCACCACCCTGCCCTTCTTTTTATCCTCCCACCAACCCAGGAAGGGAGGCTGAACAGAGATATTCAGATTCCCAGCTCCGAAATGGAGCTCCAGCCAATGCTGGCCACATCCCCAAGGTCAGGAACACGGCCATATAAACCTGCCTGCCCCCTGAGATCTGGGTCAGAGGCCCTTCTTCGGGATCCCTCTTTAAAGGAGATCAAAAGAGTGGCAACCCAGAGAAGGGCCTTCCCTGTGGTGGCACCTCAACTTTGGAACTCGGTCCCCAGAGAGATGCGCCTGGCACCAACTCTTTTTTCTTTTCAGTGCCAGGCCAAATCTTATTTTTCCATTATTTGAAATGTTAATTCGTGTTTCTACTTTGGATTTCATTTGTTAGTGATGCTGTACCATATTCATATTTATTTCACTGCATTGCTGCCCTGAGACATTGAAAAGGGCAGGATACAAGAACTTTAAATAAATAAAGCATGGAGAAGGGTAAAAGGGGGACGTTTGGTGGACAGAGGGAGGAGACCACCAAAGAAATGAACTATCTGGAGGTCTTTCCAGTCTCCCCTCCCCGAGACACACACACTCCAAGCATAAAACCCGCCTAGCAAAACTGGAGGTACAATGACAAGGAAGCAAAGACTGCCTCCGCCATTTCTCCCCCGACTTCAAAGTTTATCCCATGGCACATCCCATAGGACCACCCCCTAAGAGCAGGAAAACGCAACATGTTTCCAGGTTTGAGGTATGGGTTCATATCTCCACTTGGCCATGATGTTCACTGGGTAACTTTGGCCAACTCAGACTCCCACCCCAACCTACCTCACAGGGCTGTTGTGAGGGTAAAGCAGAGAGAAACAGCACTAGAGAAGCCATGTTGGGTTTCTTGCAGGAAAAAGGCAGGAAATAAATATAACGGATAAAGAACTGTAGCTCACACACACTGCTAGAGTCAACCTCCTCCCCTGCTCCTCATTTCCTTTCCCATAATTGCTCCCACTTCCGGCTTGGTATGTGTGCAAACCTCCAAACGCGAAGATTTACGTGTTGCCAATGCACAGAGCGAGATGCGGCAGCTGGACTTTCTGTAGCTGCCCTATCTCACACCTTGCATTTCCTCAAGATGGACGATTTCAGCAGGACCTTGCAGCTGGGCCTCCGAATAATCTTGTGGTATCCCAGAAAATGCCCGGAAGGTTCCAGGATTGTGCTTCCGGTGGGCTTTGCCAGTCTAACTTTAAGTTATTTTGCCTCTGATCTGGGCCACACACTGGAATGCTCTTTTCCTTGAGACAGGCAAGAGCTTTCAGTCCAGGATGTTCCACGGCCCCACCAAAAAAAGGACTTTGGGGCTGTGCTCAAGCAGGATGAACAGGAGAGCTCCCAGCTGCAGCAAAGGTAGCTTCCTGCTGATTTGGGAGTTGAGTGTTTATTTACTTCACAGTATTATCTGAGGGACAGGAAGCCTTCAAAGGCAGTCAAGCCAAAGCTGCCCAGCTGCTCAAACCAGGCTGGGAAATCTCAGGCGCCTTTTCCGCAGTCTGTCTCTGCCCCTGCTGGACAAATTCTGCCTTGTCAGGTGCGCTAGGCTGAGTCAGCAACTGCAAGGCAGCCTGGGGGGCCTTCTAAAACGTGGGTTTCTGGCGCCCTCTTGTGGAAGTCAGGCCACCATGCAGTTCTCCAGAAGCGTTTCCTTTCTCCTTGAGAGGGCGAAAATCGTCAGCAATAAATGAATATTATTCGAGCCGGTTAGGATGGGAGTTGCAGGCCCTGCTGTCTTTCTAAACATGCACAGGCGTGCAACTTTAATTTCTGTAAGAAGGCCGAGATGGAAAGACGGTGCCTTGCTTTAGCTAGAAAAACTGTGGCGAGATTTCTCTCTTGGGCTCATGTCAAGAATACAGCACATTTTTAAAAGAAAATTTAAAAGGAAAACATGAAAGCTGTGCTGCTTCAGAGCAATTCATCCAGTCTGGCTTTCGGACACCAGCCAAATGCCACCTGGAAGGCAAGCAGGCAATTGCTTTGTGGTACGGCCCTACCTACCCTAATCGCGACCTGATTGACCTGAACAAATTTGGCCCTCGGGCTGAAAATGTTTCCCACCCTCCGTTTGCTGTGCAGCTCGACAACAGCACACCAGACGACGGAGCATTGGGAGGGATCCCGCAGCCCATCTTTCAAGAGTTTTTCTGTCCTGGTTCTTTCATTCTTACCTTAGCTTCGCAGTGCAAGGGCGGAGGGTTTCGCCCATCCCACCAAGCCGCCCTTCGACTAAGCTGCGGTGTGTGGGCTGCCCACCTGACAGATGGTCAAGCTCACCGTGGGCTGATCTGCCCTCCCCTCCCACAGCTGGCTCCGACACAGGCCCCAAGGTGGCAGAGGATACCTCCAAGCCAACACGAGGGCCGGCATTCGCGTCTCTGAAGTGGCCCGCCAAGACGCCCAGGAAACTGAACTGAGGGCAGCAGCATTGCTCAAGGGGAGAGGAACGAACGCTGCATGGTTGCCATGGAGAGCGACAGTTTCCCCCTGCGTACTCTCATCTTCCCTGCTCTGACCAGAATTCTCTCCCTGGATCTTCAGGCAGATGAGATGCCCAAGAACTGAGCCAGGGGCCCGCTCCAAGCAGTGCCTGTGTTCCACCACGGACCTGGACCCCTTCCCCAGAAACACTGGGAGCTGCCTTGTGACTCTGTGCTGTCTGTACTCTAGACAGATGCCCCCCCCCACCCCCTTTCTCCTGGCTAATGATGGCATCCTGGCTTTTGTACCCTTTTCTCCCACTCCAAAATATCAGCACCTGGGGTGGGGGCAGCTGGGTATCAGGTCGGGGCACCAGGACCAAGGCAACTGGCACGACACGCAGGCCCAGTCCAAATCACAGTCAGGCAGTCCAGAGATCAAGGTGGGCAACAGAGGGGCAAGGTAAGTCTATCCAAATAGAGCAGAGTAGTCAAGGCCGGTCAGGAGTTGAAAGCCAGAGAGACAAGTCAAGGAGAAGCAGATACCTGGGAAGCTGGAGCAGGGGAAGCCGGGCCTGGGCCAGAAGCAGAGGCAGGAGCAAGGCAGCGGGCAGCGCTTCCTGAGACAGGCTCCAGGAGGCACGAGGTGCTCCAACAACAGCAAAAGCCTCTCTTGCCAAGGCAGCACCTGAAGGCACCAGCCGGTTCTTCTATAGCTCTTCCCTCAGTGCTCCCAGGTGGTGCTCGCAACATCCCAGGTGGCTGCGATTGACTGTGGCCCCAGTCCTGCAACCACCAGGGCTGCTATTCTGGTCTCTGGCCAGAAGAGGGAGCCCTGGAGCGGCCCCAGAACCTCACACAAAAGTGCCAAAGGTCCCTTCGATGGCTTTGCTACTGGAAGCAAGATCCTGAAGCTGAAAGGGGGGGGGGGGGCTGTCCTTTCAGCTCCAGCCCTCTTTTCACCCACTGTTGGGATGTGGCCCTCCAAATGCTGCCCTGCCTGGAACGTGGCCCCTGGGCTGCACGGGTTCAGCCCCTGGCCTGCAGCAGCTGGTGGAGGCTCTCCGGGGAAGAGGGTTTTTCCCAGCCCTGCCTATCAACGTGGCCAGTGAGTTCTGGAGAAGGGCCTTCTCTGTGTGCCCAGAGAGCCACAGTAACAACACGGGAAGACGCGTGCAGACGGTTCTCCACCTCTCACCACAGAGTCCCAGACCCTCCGCGCCAGCTGCCCCTTCAAAGGGCGGTGCTGTCGGTGCCTTGCCTTGCCCGTGGCACCGTGCGAGACGTAATGGGCTCCCTCTTTCAAAGCGATTTCCATCTGCTTGCGGGCGATGCAAGGCCTGGCGAGGGAAGTCCCGAGGAGGTATCGGTCCTCGTAGACAGCGTTGGCTTGGACCGCTGGCCAGATGAATTCTTCCACAAATTCTCTGCTAATGTCTTCGATGTAAACCTGCCGGTGGGGAGAGAAAACAGGAGGGATGGAGTAGGATTGTGTCTGTTTATCAGTGACTGGAAGGAGGGATGTTTCCATCTGGGTGGGAAGGAGGGGTAGACATTAGCTGTGGATGATGGAATCAAAGGTGCCTGACAACCCACAAACCATGGGCAGCACAGATTTGAATCTAAACATCCCTGGTTTATTAGTAGTGATCTGTGTAAACCAGCCTTCTTTCAGCTGAAGAGTGGGTTAAAAGTGTATCAGAGAAAATAATAGTGATGATGATGATGATGGGAAAGCCTGGGAGATGCAATTCAATGGCAGCAAAATGTATATATTTTGATTCTACATGTTTAGATTTCCTGTTTAAAAACAGAAGTATAATATCACCCAGAGAGAAATCAAGGGCTACAAGAGAAAACGTTGCTGAAGTCAAGATAGATTTTGTCCACAGCGAACCCACAGTTCATCGGGGGCAGGGGGGGAGGGGTGTTACCCAATCAAAAAATGGAATGATATTAGTCTGGCAGGGTTTGTTCTTGAGAAATTCATGGGGCTCCTCATAATCACTGCATTGTTTTCGAGGTGTCTGCAGCCTGACTGCTTTAGAACCTGCTCCAGAACTTTCTAAGGGATTGCTGTCAGACTGGCTGGCCTGTGGTTTCCAGAGTCTTCTTTTTTCCCTTTAGAAGGACAACCTTAGCCCTGTCCCAGTCACCTGACACTTCCCCCGTCCTCCAGGATTTCTCAAAGACAACACAGAGTGCTTCTTTAGGACCCTAGGATGTTGCTGTTTGGGCCCTGGAGATCTGAACTCACTCAGCCCAGTTGGGTGATCCTTGACCATTTGGCTGTCAATCTTGAGCTGCCAAGACAGTTTGAAATTTACCCAAAGAGGCTGCATACTCAGCCTCTCCAGTAGTTAAAGTGTTACTGATTTCTGCTCTGTGATTCCGAGAATGACCTTCTCAGGAGCATCTGTCAACCAAAAGGCATTTGATGACATATCAGAAACTAGTCCATGTGACCCACCAAGAGGAGAGCCATGGAAGAACCCTCTCTTTTGATGAGAAGTTGCACATCCTGCAATGTCAGCCTCTTACTTCTTAGCTTTCTAACCTAGGAATGTGTGAGTTTTGGGGGCAGTCGACATCCAGTGGATTAGCACAAGCCACCACCCTAGATTTTGACCAAGCAACTCAGCACTGGCACCGGCTTGCTCAGACTCAGGTCAAGGTATCATGTGACCGTTAAAGCAAGCTGCAATTTGCACATAGAAATATATCTTAAGCCAAAGAAATGTGTGTGTTTTTCGGCTGCACTTTGCACAAACCATGGCTGAACATTGGGCAAATTTCCCTGGCTTCAGAACAGAAAATGCAAATTGCAGCTCATTCCGAAAGCAGAAACCACAAAGCAAACCATGCCCTTTCTTGGCCTGATTTGGGCTCTTGACCCAGAAAGGTGAGGAAAAGCTGCTGGACACAAGCAGGCCCGAAGAATGCCCGGGGTGATGTCCCAGGCAGGTGAGCCAACATGAAAGCCTTGCAACAGCCCTGAAAAGTAGGCCAGCTCCAGCATCCTGCAGTTTTGCATCCACATTCACACAGCAAGTACCTTTTTGGCTCCCAGGGAGAGGGCTTTGGCCCTGGCTTTTTCAAAGTTTTCATTTTGTCCGATGTTAGCCTGGAAAATAAACAAAATGACAACACACAAATATTTCCAGCTCATGTGGGGTGGGGTGGGGTGGGGTGGGTGGAAAGCATACGGATCAGACTCTTTGATGAGCTGTCACGGGCTCGGGAATCTCTTCCCAGAAGATGAACTAGGTGGCCCAAGGCTGCCGTGGGAGGAAGCCCTTCCAGGTCTGAAACCACATGAGCGAAATCAGAAGACATGCGGATCCTTTGGGAGGGCCCCCTTCCCTCCCTCAATGGACCAGTTCAGCAGTTAACAGACTTATAGTTCGTTGCCTCCATCTCTTCAAGCAGGGGTAGGAAACTTGCAGGCCTCCACATTCTGCAGCCTCCAGCTCCCATCTGGACACCCCGTGGTGAACCATGTGGGGATTGTAAGCTAAAGCACCTGGACACAAGGCACAAGTTACCCACCGTAAAGGTGTTGTCAGAATGACCCCCTTTCAGCCACCCAGCCAGGGCTTCCAGGACCACTGCTGGCCCTTGTTCTGTGGGTTTTATAGAGTGCTTCTTTTCCCCATTTCCGAGACTGCTTGCTTCAGTAAGAAAACAGTTTCATTCTCTCAGCAAAAGCAGCTCTTCTCCACAGCATCTGTGGAAGGCCGCTCCAAGCCAATGCTCTGTGAGGTATTTTCTAGCAGCCTGCAGGCTATCAGGCCTTGACATGGCTCCAGAAAGCTATCCTGGCTTTTGTACCCTGGGAAAGTTCAGTACACTACCAGTTACTGATACCTCTGTGAATAAGCTTTGTCTGGTAGAGCCAGGAAAACAGAAAACAAAGAAGAGGGGGATGTACGAGTTTCTCTGTGAATGGGGAATCTGTCTGAATGGTTGTATGTCGGTATTCTCGTGCCTCTATTCATGTGTTGGCACTAGTGTGCAACGGGTTACAACGAGGCTCGGTTTGTAGGCATTCTTTCTAGATGGGTGTGTATACGGATAGATTTGCCTGTGCTAATGTAATGCAAATGGGCCAATGCAAATTGGCGCCAGGTATCCTCTTTGGCATAATATAAGCAGCCATTCTCCTGGTGGGACTGGAGACTCCAACGTCGGCAGGACGGGGGGCCCACTCCGGGTTTTCATCTGAGCCTCGAAGCAGCTCTCCATGTTGATTATTTATTTATTTATTAGAACATTTTTATGCCGCCCCATTCGCCGAAACCTCGGGGCGGCTTACAACAATAAGTTAAAATAATTATAATGTAAATCAAAAATATAAACATTAAATTAAAAATACAAAAATAAGCCACCTTGGCCAGATAAAATCCAATAATATTAACAGTTAAAATGCCGCTTGAATAAAAAGGTCTTCGCCTGGCACCAAAAAACAAATAACGATGGCGCCAGGCGGACTTAGGCGCCACCACAGAGAAAGCCCTCCTCCGAGTACCCACCCTCTTAATTTCTTTCATGGAGGGTTCCCAGAGAAGGGCCTCTCCCACCGATCTCAAGGGGCGGCTGGGCATATATGGATATATTGCTCTACCCCATTCCGGGGCAGGTTCAGCACCATAGACAGCTCCTTCAGTCTTCAGACAGAAACCTGGGCTAGATCCCCGGACACTGAGGCCGCCGGCCAGAGCTGCACCCGACCAGTGTCCACCGATAGCCCATCCTTCGGCCCACCTTCTCCGCTTACCAGGTAAGTGATGACCTCGTAGCCTTGCTCCTTCAGCCAGACTAGGATGCAAGACGTGTCCAGTCCGCCACTGTAGGCCAGCACGACCAGCCCTTTGGACTGAGCCATCGTTCTCTGCGGGGAAGCGGAAGACAAGCAAGGCCCTCCGTCAGTTGCGCTGAGTTGCGACGCAGGCTGCCTTTGCCGGAGCCAACAGCAACGGGCGCCCGAGGCTGCTGGGACCCAGGGCGTGGATTCACAAGCGTTTCCCAGAAGCAGGTGAGGCAAGAAGAAGAGGGACTTGCCCAGAAACCTAAGGGCCTGGCAGAGGAGGGATCCGAGCTCCAGAGCACTGCAAGCCAAGGGTGGAAGGTGCTTTGTCTTCCATTCTGCCGGTATCCCCATGGATTCTTCAGCATGGGGTCCCATAGTTTGCCCCCCACGCTCTTTAGCATTCACATGAAACCGCTGAGCCATCTGGCATTTCGGAGCATGCTGCTCTCCTCAGTTTTTCATTCACCTCAACTGGTTATCTAAAGGAGCGCCTGCTTGCATATTTGCCCTCCCGCCCCTGGAGATCGGCGGCAGAGGCCCTCCTCGGGGAGCCCTCTGTGAGAGACATTGGGAGGGTGAGTACCCGGAGGAAGGCCTTCTCTGCGGTGGCGCCCCGACTGTGGAATGTGCTCCCCAGAGAGGTCCGCCTGGCACCAATTCTTTATTTTCAGCACCAGGAGAAGACCTTTTTATTTAAACGTTATTTTAATTGTTAATTGTTGATTGTATTTATTGGTTTTTATATCTGTGCCGAGATGTCTCTGGATTTTTAAGGTTAATTGTAGGATTGTTTATTTGGTTTGTAAGCTGCCCTGAGGCTTTTTGCGAATGGGGCAGCATAAAAATGTTCTAAATAAAATCTCACCAGGTGCATCCACTAAACCAGGGCTTGGCTGCAAGAACAGACTGGACGAGGGCTAGCAAGCTGAAGCTCAGCCTTGTCAAGACTGAGATGCTGTTAGTGTGTGTGTGGGGGGGGTTCCTCTGCCCAGACAGAGGGAGTTCAACCTGTTCTGGATGGGGCTGCTCTCCCCTTGAAGGGGTAGGTCCATCATTTGGGGGTCCCCTTCAAGACATCATTGTCACGTGAAGCTCAATGGCCCGGCAAGGCATGCCTCCTACGAGCTCTGGCTAGTGGCCCAGCTACACTCCTATCTGGACTTGGAGAGCCTACTTTCAGTAATCTATGCTCTGGCCACCTCTGGACTACTGCAATGCACTCTGTGTGGGACTGCCCTTGAAGGCTGTTCTGAAGCTGCAGCATGAGTGAAATGCAGCAGGGAAAGCCTGATCAGGTCCTGCTTGTATGTTTCGGAGGGAATTCCTCATGCTGGCTTTACTCTGGAAAATCTTCCTGCATCTGTGATTTCTACCAGCAGCTTCTCTGTCTCCCGCTGCCCCTCCTCCTCGCCCCAAACTTGGCACTGCGTAGTTGTCCTCTTTGGCTGGACAGCAGCATAACAACCAAGCTGCAGACAAAAGACCTTTGCAGTTCCACTTTGGATGACCTGCAGTAGCATTTCCAATTCCTTGCAGGCACAGTGGAACTTTATTTACTCATTCCACTGCCCGGAGGTGAAAGAAGCCGCAATTCTGGCCATGTTTCTGAGGGGACAGGAATCAGTGCTGCGTGGATGAATGGGCAACGTTTTGCTCTCCTTTTTGTTCAGTGTCTGGGGCTCCCATAGAAACCAGCTTTGCTAAGCACACTTTTCCCACAAACTCCTATGGCCTAGCAAAAACCACGGCAAAGGATACAAGGCCTACGCAAACTGTGCAGTTCGGATTACGTATTTCTCCCTGGCTTCTGAAACGCTGGCACACCATTCCCTGTTAGGCGCATGTCCTGCAGTCTTGTGAGTTGTGGGTGAACGGTTTGGATTCATCAGAATCAGAGGAGCCTGCTTTGCAGAATTCACTCCTCCATTTGAGGAGCTGTCGAAAGACAATCTTCACTCTGAAGGCGCTTTCTGTTTAAAGGGCTCTCCGGTCCAAGTCTGGTTTCACGTCCAAGAACCCAAAGAAGGGGGAACATGGGCCTTATGGCAAGACACCCTGCATTTCTAAATACAGGACTGATCCTTTCTACATTTGCATCCCTGCATCTAAATCGGCATGTGCATTCCGTTTTCATTTCTTGTTTTTTTTTGGGGGGGGGGGGGCGATGAGGCCCCATCGGTGCGGGCGTTCAAGGATAGGCTGGACGTCCACATGGTGGGCATGTCGTGAGCGGAGCTGGCTGGTGTTGGAGGTCAGACTAGATGGCCCGGGAGGCCCCTTCTGACTCGCTCTATTTCTATGTTTCTATATTTTCATGCTACACAGATCACCCCCACCAATTTGGGGGGATAGCTGTGGGTTTTTAATGGCTTAGTTTAGAAGGAGAAGGACTTTACAGCTTCACTATTTTGTCATTTCCAAAGGGCTTCAAAATGGACAGAGATATGCGAGACTGGAATCTTACATAAGAAAAGACTAGCACCACCAACAAGCTTCATATTCTGCTCAATTTAGGGGTCTCCCTCAGGGGTGGCAGTTAGGAGAAGGCCTTCTCTCTGGTGGACCCCCTCTTTGGAACATGCTCCCCAAGAAGGTGTGCCTGGCGTAGTCTTTGTTTTCCTTCCAGCACCAGGTAAATACCCTTTTCTTTGCCAGATATTTTAATAGATAGGTGGATTTTAATATCGCTTCATTAATATTTAAACAACATGTAATATTGTTTTTATATGAACTGTTTTATGCCGTGTACTAATTCTCCATGAGCTGTCAGTGCTGCTTTATTTTCTATTTGGCTTTAACTGATTTTATTATCGTACTGTTTTTATCCTTGTTATACACTTTTATTGTGTGAACCACCCAGAGAACTCCATTGGCTATGAGGAGATATATAGATATATATAATTTAAATAAAGTAAGTAAGCCATTTCAGTATTATGATTGACTGATTTAAAATTTTTATACCCCGTCCACCACTTTGATGTCTCAGGATGGCTTACAAAAAGAACAATAAAATGGCGAAAGAACACAGCATCCAACAAGCAAGATAAAAACCCCAGTTAAAACAAACTTAGTGTTAAAATAGTGGGAAATTAAATTTAAAAAATGATTGCAACATTTAGGGTACAATCATCAGCATTCCGACGATTGTAGGACCTTTTTCCTCTCGAAATATGCATAGGCTCACACCCTTAATTGATTAGGAAATGTTGAATTGGAAAGTGCACCAGAAACATCTTGCAAATGAAATCTAAAACCCTGACTAAGCATGTGGGAAAGTCTTCTAGGCATTACATTAATCCCATACACAACTAGCCAAAGTTTATTTTTATTTGCTTGTTTGTTGAAAGCTTTTGTATCTTGCCCTTCACTGTGTCTCAGGGTGGTAAGATGAGGGGTCTTCAAAAGGTTTTTGCACTTTTATATTCTATATTTTAGAAATATATTTTATATATATTTTGCTGATGCCATTAAAAAGTTGGTACGATGCTGGAAAAATGTATCACAAAGGAAGGTGACTATGCAGAAAAGGGATGTAATTTATTTTTGAAATTCTTAATAAATAGAGTTTAAAAAGTGTGGAAACTTTTTGAAGAACCTCGTACAATTAAGTACAGCATCAAAATGTACCGTAAATAAAACCCAGTCTTTAAAGATTCCCCTGACCACTTCAAAAAGGTCTCTGCCCGTGTACCAGCAAAACTCTGAGCTGATTAATCTGAACAAAACCTGCAGTCCTGAGAAAAGTTTATTTTCAAAGTTAATTCATAAAGAGAAACATGCTGGGAAGGTTCATGCCTGGTTAGCTATCAATCCGCAGAGATGCGTGAGCTTCTCCACCTTAATACCTCCTCCCATCGGAGCTTTCCTTTTCGTTCCTAAGTGAAGCCAGAGTTGGGAAGCCAGATGAAGAGGAACTTGGACCAGGAGAGGCCGCTGCACTTTGCTCCAAAGTTTTTCCACATCCAGAAGCCATCCCATGGCGCCTGGACAGCATCCAAAGCCGAAGGCTGAACCCCAAACTCCCTGCAGAGAGTCCGGGCGCCAACCAGCCTCCCTGCTCTACGAGCTCACAAACCAACCTCAGAGAGGGAGAAAGGGCGATTTACGAGTAAGTGGGCAGAGGGGTGAGGAACCTGGAAAAGCCAGGACGCACGTTGTCCTGATGCCTCTCCAGCCTCCATCCCTTTCCCTCCGAGACAACCCAGCTGGGTAAGCAAGCAGCTCAGGGTCCACAGAACCGGGAATGAAAATCTCTGCCATGTTCTCAAGGACTCCCAGCCTTCTGAGTTCAGGGCATGATGGCTCTGGGGGCAGGGCTGCCTTTAAGGTATCTGAGGGTGGCTTGTAAACGGCCTGGAAAGCGTCAGATAATGGGCAGTGTAGAAATTCCATCCATCCATCACTCCGTTGTTCTGCAGAAGGGGGAATTTCTCCTGGTGACATGCCTCTGTCACAGAAAGGCTCAAAGGCGCATCATCACTGTCAACCTCATTCAAAGGAGAGAGTCCCCGTTATTTTGCATCTTCGAGGGTCAAAGGCCACTGGGCTGTGCACATTCACCTGATCTAGCTCACCGGAGCTTTTGCGCTCCGTATTTTGCATACTTCTGGAATTTGGTGGAAAATAGTTGATCCCCTAACACTGCAGCAGAAAGTAACTGCCTACGGAAAAGGGAGCGAACTAGAGGGCCAAATGCCGATTTCAGGAATAGACGGGGGCAAAGGTGGTGGGGCCATAAAACAAAACATTCTCAGTATATTTTTGCTTCCGTTCTCCTTGCCAGAAACTGAGCCCTTTTAATTGTGGAGGGGGAACCATCCAAGAGTTGCAAAAGCAGCAAGCTGGGCGAGGGGCATGGCTGAGAAATGGGGAAGTCTAGCACCCAGCATTTTGGACCCCCAGCCTCAGGGTTACCTGTTAAACTAAAGCAAGTAGTGATCATGCTGTGAGTATTGGGACTCAGCCTCCTCCCTAAATGCTGACTTTCCCTCCCTTCTCCACCAATGCAGAAAATTCTCATTCTCTTTATTAAAAGCATAGTGGAGCTGTGGAAAGGTTTAGCTTGTCCTGTTGAATAGTGGGGGGGGGGGAATCTATATATAAATGTAGAGCATATACAGAAAAATAAGTGAGGGGAGAAAAGCATTTACACCTCTTGTATCCACTCTCAAGGCACTTGTTTAACAATCGTGGCTGAAAAAGCTTTGCTGCTGTTGTTATGTTTTCCTTCTCACTGGATTAGTATTCAGTCCAGCCTCCAGCTGGAATTCAAGACAAACAGCAAAACAAGAGGTTCCTTCATTGTATCCAGGGTAGAGGAGCTCATACGAGGTACCCTATCCTTCTTATACTTTTTCGGAGTTTGATGGGAACTCAAAAATCATCTAGTCCAACCCCTAATCCAACTCTTCATCATCCTGATAGACAGCACCCCAGACTCTGCTTAAATCATTTCTGAAATATTCTGTGGGTGACAGAGACATGAAGCACAGTCATCCCTGTAAGGCAGGTCAGTATGATTATATCATAGCCCTGTAATGTAGGGAACTCTTCTGCATTTGTTACAAGTTCTCTCAGTTAAACATTCACCCCACTTTCCACTTGCAACCAGCTTGGGATATAAAAGCTACACCTCTTGAATTTCTGTCTGCTGCATAGAGCACTGCAAACCAGCCAGGGGAAAGTCTGCAACTCAACAGACTTGCAGCCTGAGACTCAAGGTGAAGGACAGTATAGAAAATCTTTTCAATAAATAAATAAATGAATAAAATAAACAGATTGCAGCTGAAGCTACTGAGCAGATGGAAGACGAGTCCCTCCCAGCCCAAATTTAGGTACTAAAGATGCCTGCACAGTCCTTCCATTTACTACCAAAGTCCCCTTTTCTCAATGTATTCCCCTTCCTTCCTTCCCTTCCTTCCCTTCCTTCCTTCCCTCCCCTCTGCCTCCTCCTTTCAAATATAGTCACTGCTGTAAGAATCACTGGCCATAAAGTTTAAAACTTCGCTCACTCACCACCACGGGAATTCAGCCGCAGGTAGAATCCCAGAGAAATCTCCCTGCCTCTTGGCAAGCCATCCCAGAATATAAAGCAGGGTCACTTGGCTGGTGGGAGGAGTCGGGAATCAGGGAGGGACGCCTGTCCCCATGGGTGGGATCAATCCGGGGCAGGCGTCCCTCTTGGCCCATTCACAACGTTCCCCTAAAGGAAGCTCGTGGGAACTCTCGGTGGGCCAAGACTTTAGCCTGGAAGGCAGACAGTCTGCAAACTGCAACACTGCCTGGCACGGGACAGGGAGGAGCTGGAGGGCGAGCTGCAAGTCTGCATAGTGGGCTCCTGGTGGAGGCATAGCTGCAGGACTGGGGAAAGGATTTGGCAACCGCACATTCCGCAGAAGCAAGGCCGACGACTGCTCCCACAAGGCCGTGGGCCAGATAATGTCCCCTTGCGTCAGAGCGTCACCTGCCTCTCTGGCAGCTGATGTTGACACGGAAGGGACCCTCCACGGTACACAGATCATAATCCTCCCCGCTGCCCTCTCCCTGCCCCCGTCTAGTTGCTTCTGCTTCCAAAATCCAGACAACTCTGCAAAGTCAGCAGCAAGACAAGCGGACAAAGGGCCGGATGCTTTCCTGCCTCCGGACTCCAGACATCCCGTTGGTAAAGGCAAAGCCACAGAATCATGGAGCAGTAGAGTTGGAAGGGGCCAGAAGGCCGTCCGGCCCAACTCCCTGCTCAGTGCAGGACCCCAAGTTACACCGTCCCTCCCGGATGGCCTTCCGGTTGCATCTTGCGCACCTCCCGAGTGGAAGAGCCCCCCACCTCCCACGGTCACGGGTTCCAGTGCTGTGCTGTTTTGACAGTCAGGAAACTTTTCCTGATAGCTAGCCAGAACTTGGTTTCCTGTAACCTGAGCCTGTTGTTCCATGTCCTGCACTCTGGAATGATCAAGAAGAGATCCTGGCCTTCCTCTTTGTGAGGAGTGCTATTCTATCTCCCCTCAGTCTTCCCTCCTCCAGGCTAAACATGCCCAGTTCTTTCCACCTCTCCTCACAGGGCCTTTTCTCCAGTCCCTGGGTCATCCTTGTTGCCTTCCTCAGGACCCTTTCCTGCTTGTTTGCATCTTTCTTCAGCTCTGGTGCCCAGAATTGGATGTAGTCCTCCTTGAGATCCAACCAGTGGGGAGTAAAGGGGGACTGGTACTTCATATGATCTGGAAGTGAGACATCTATTAATGCAACCTAAAATAGCATTTGCCCTTTTTGCAGCCGCTTCTCATTGTTGACGCATATTCAGCTTGTGATTACAACAATTCCACAATCCTTTTCACTTGCAGTACTGTGCAGCCAAGTATTCCCCATTTTGTAACAAAGCATTTGGTTTCTTTCTGTTGACATTTGTCCCTACTGAATTTCATTCTGTTGCTTTCAGCCCAGTGCTTCAACCTATCAAGATCACCTTGAATCTTCTTTCCGTCTTCCAGGGTATTAGCTATCCCACCCAGATCTGCAAATCAAACCAAACCAAACAAAAAACCCAGGAATGCAAGGATCAGACTCCAAAGTCCATCTAGTTTAGAATCTCAACTCTTTCAGCACCCGGTCAGATGTTCTGGGACACTCCCGAAGATAATTTTCCTTCCTCAGTTCTGAGCAACAGGCAATTATGTCCTGGGGGACTTCAGTCTCCATGCCGAGACTGTTCTGACCGGGGCGGCTCAGGACTTCATGGCCTCCATGGTGGCCATGGGGCTGTCTCAACATGTCATAGGCCTGACCCATGAACGTTATCACCTATAAAGCCCTTAACGGCTTGGGACCTGGTTATCTAAAGGAGCGCTTGTGTCCATATATGCCCTCCCGCCCCTTGAGATCGGCGGCAGAGGCCCTTCTCTGGGAGCCCTCCGTGAAGGACATTAGGAGGGTGAGCACCCGGAGGAGGGCCTTCTCTGCGGTGGTGCCCAATCTATGGAATGTGCTCCCCAGAGAGGTCCGCCTGGCGCCGTCGTTATTTGCTTTTCGGTGCCAGGCCAAGACCTTATTATTTAAACGTCATTTTAATTATTAATATTATTTATTGATTTTATATCTTCGGCCAGGACGTCGCCAATTATATTGTTTATATGGTTAATTGTGTATTTATTTATTTATTTATTTATTGTTGTGCGCTGCCCCGAGGCTTCAGTGAATGGGGCGGCATAGAAGTTTGCTAAATAAATAAATAAATAAATAAATAAAAATTAGAAATGGATGGGCTCAGAAGTTGGAGGTTTATTTATGCCATTTGATTGCCTCCCAATACCAAAGGATCTGGGCAGTTTAGAAAAATTAAAAGCCTAAATGCAGCTTAAGGAAGCATTAGAGTAAAGCTTTGAAAGCTTCAAACAGTGTGATGCCAAAATAGTAATAATAAAAAAGCAGGGCAGGGCAAAGATTGGGGAAAAAACCACAATCACCCATTTCAGTATAACATTGAAGGATGGAAAAGCCCGTGAAAGGGAAAAGGCCTTCAGCCAGTAATGGAAGAACCGCAGGGAAAGTGCCGGAGGAGCCTCTGTGGGAAGGAATTTGGGGTGCCACTGCAAGAAAGGCCCTACTCATAATGACCATCCACCCCTGTGAGATCTGGGGGGCTACCCAGGGGAAGGTCCCCGGAGGAGATTTTAGGCATGCTCAAATGGGAGGGGAGGTTCCGGGCCACTTGACCCTGTATTTGGATGCCCTGCTCTCTTCCACAAGGAAACAGCCCGACACAGTTCTGGCTGTTACTTACAGAAACCTGAGTCACCTGCATTGCAGTTACTTCCCGCGCCACTCATCCTGCAGGAGCCCGCCCATCGATTTCAGAGGGCCTACCTGGCAGGGCTGTGTGACTGGCCTTGGGGCAGGGGGGATCTCAGGACCGTGTCTTAGGCCTGCTCTGCAGAGCCCTTCCCAGGCAAGTTCAATTGCCCTCTTCTTTGCTGCCTTTTAGAAAGGCAGTGGAGAACTTTTCTCCACGGTTCCCTACATTTTAATCTTGCCTATTTCGGATTCACACTCAAGCCATATTTTCTGGCCTTTAAAAAAAACATGCAATCTTAAGAGTCCGATGCTATGCATCTTTAGAACAAAGAAGATCTACAGCATACAGCTTTGACTCACTGGCGCATGCTGGGAATTGTTGGCTTTTTTTCTGCCTATACTTGCAAAGAATTGTGTGCTCAGTTGTTGTAAGTCACTGCCAATTCGTATAAATTAAAAAGAAGAACAACAAGAGCCTTGCTCTTGCTCCCGTCAGTTTTGCTGGGCTCAGTTTTAGCGTTTATTGTGTAAGTTTCTTGGGACAAGAATATGTTGTTCTCTTGTTTTCTCTGTGGGCTACTGCAGAAAAAAACGTATTTTTCCTTCCCTTTCCCGTCATGCAGGATGTGAGGGCTGCTCATTATACAGTCGAAACAGAACGGCCATGCACAACAGGGAGCGCGCAGGCAGGCCTGGAGGAGCCCCATGGTGCGGAGATGCACAATCACTGTTTGGGTGGGATCTTAGGACAGGCGGGGCAGGGAGTGCAACGGCCCAGTGAGGACTGGGTAAGCGATCGGCTGTTGGGATGAGCGTGGAAAGGGGAGGCAGCGTCTGACTTCTGCCTGCTTTTCGGCATCTTTGTGGCCACCCATTTAGCCTTCCCAGAACTGGCACTTGTGCACACGTGCCTGCGGCATGTCTGAATGCCATCCGCCAGCAGATGGCACGCTCTCCCCATCTCCCTAGCAGTTCTCAATGCACCACCTGAGGTGTAATTCCTGAGGAGACGGATGCATTCGAAACATGGGGATGGAGGAGAACTTGGCAAGTGCCGTGGACTGACGGAAAAGGCGAACAGGTGGGTTCCAGATCAGATCAAGCCAGAGCCTTCCCTAGAAGTAGAAATGACAAAAAGGGGACTGTTTATAATTTGGAGAAGAAACGACTCGCTTGGAGACAATCATGCTAGGAAAGCTGAAGTCAGAAGAAGAACGGGAAGGGCGAATAAGAGATGGACTGACTGTATAAAGAGAACTTAGAACAGCTTAGCAGGGTGGTGGCTGGATGGGGTCACTGGGGCAGTGGGCGTGGGCTTGAGAGGGCTCCAAGGGATGGTGGAGGACAGGAGAGCCTGGAGGAATGTTGTCTGTGGGGTCATGAAGGGTTGGACATGACTTAGCGGCTAAACAAAAAGCAGGGCTGTCATGGATAGGACAATTCATTCATGGGGTCCCCATAAGGTGAAGAAAACTTGATGGCGCACGACTGCAACTACAAAGTCAGGTGCTTTGTAGCTCAATGTTTTTAAAAAGTCACAAAAGCAAAACAAATCACAGTCATTCATTCCTTCAATCAATCACTCAATTTTTTTAAAATCCTGCTTTCCTCTGGGAAAAGATAGATAGATGCTCCCAGCCTTTCTATTCTCACAACACTGCAGGGTAAGGTTAGGCTGAGGCAGAGTTACTGGGACAGAGCGTGATAACCCAACACCCGTGGCTGAGTGCGGGTTGTGCTCGAACTGCAGACAGCTGGTCAGTGGGTTATTGTACTGTCTGCCGTAACAAGCCATGGCAATCAACCCACCGTTCACAGCCCCAGCCGCAAACCGTGGGCTCCCGGCGTGGGCTGTTTGCAGAAGCAAACCATGGCTTGCTGGTGCAGCTGGCTACAGACAGCACAATAGCCCCTTGCTCAACACAAGCCACGCTCGAACCACACTCAGTCCCTGCACGTTGGTTCGTGTGGCCCTTGCTCCACCACAGAGCTTCACAGGAAAGCGGGGATTTCAACCTGGGTTTCCCGCATCAAGTTAGTCTCAGTCTGAGCGCCATTCATGAATTCTGGACAGGCTGGAAAATCGGCTTGGAGACCTGAACTTTTTCTGTGCTGTGGTAACATCGTCAAACAGGTTCCTCTTCCGTCTTTGCTTCCATGGGGCACCTTGTTGCTCTCTCACTCCTGAGCTGCAACCAGCCAAAGACACCTCCTTGGTCAGCAGGCCAGCTAGAACAGCTCCAGTCCAAAGGGACTATTTGGAGGAAGCGCTGCACAGTGACTGGCAATTCCGCCTT